AGAAAAACTCCGATAACAAAATGTCCTTCTTGATAACAGTCGATTTAATTACACTTGCGCATTATCTAGCCTGGACTTGTGTATTTGAAGACATACAAGCACATTCCAACCTACCAACTCAATTGCGGTCGCCGTACTACGAAAGTCGATATTATTTAATCCATAATTTACCATCGTCATTTACATGTTTGTACCATAGCAATTTCAATATATCAATATCACTGCTTTCTTTGCCAGTACATAAGCCTCGCCTTTATTGTGTAGAGTTCACTAGAGACATAATAGAGGGCGTAGAGATGATATCATTAGTCCCAAGCTGTAGAGTCTGAAAGTATAAGTCCACGCAGCGAGCTTCTTGAACCCTGGCGCGGTCCGCCTGTAGGAATTTTACAGGGGGCCGTCCTGTTACGCAACCGTTCATGTTGGAATTTAACTTTGGTTTTTCTCAAGTAATATTTTGGGAAAAGTCATCTACAAAGGGTTAAAAAAAGGGTTTAAAGGAGATAAGTCTTTTAAACGAGAATTTTTGCGTTGGCAGCAGTACGCTTCCGTAGTAATGTAACTGCCTCACTTTAAGGGATGACGCAACTAACATCATGCGCAAAGGCTCGAAGTACGTGTAAACCACGGCGTGCCCGATTGGAAAACAAAACCAAACCAAGTGCCGACTTGGCACCAAGTCTAGTAACGTGACAGCTCAGTGAGCCCAACCTCGTTCCCATGGGTACGATCTTGCCGCCATGTTGGTTCCCACCATGACTTGCTGGATCTAACTCCTGGTATTGTATAATTTAAATATCCTACTCTTTGAGGTGTTTAAATTAGAGCTTTAGTGTGTTTACGCCAGTCAGTGAATTCTGCACGACCAGGGGGACGACTTCACTAAACTTATCTTAACTCATGATCAATCGTTGACTCTGATGCATCGCAGCATTACGATCAAGCAAAACACAATTGATCGTATAAATTATTAGTGAAATCGGCCCCTGGGGCTTAGTGGAGGAATACGCGCATAGCCCATGGAGTGGAGGTTTCAGTGAGCCAGTTTGATATTCCGACAGCGCATGTCCAATACGAGGCTACTTGGGAACAGCTACGCTCTCCCGATAGTCTGTCCCTTTATGCGTAGCCATACGCCGACTCACTCTCGCTCCGTTCCCCGAAAGACCTTTGGTTTTTAAAATACCCAGTTGGCTTATTCCCCTGCAATGAACGCAAAAGTATTGTTCTTGTATATACACAACACTGACATATAATGAATATAATAAATAATGAAAATTATGAGTACTGCAGTTTCCCTTTCCTTTTCTAAAATTTCAAGTATCTTCGGCCTGGAAGATTCATTTAGTATACGAGTCAATTTTGGCCACATCCACTTTGTGTGAAAGAAAACTTTTGAACCAAATAGAAACTTGTAACGATTTTTGAATATTTTGCTGAAACGAAAATATTGATTTTGTTACATTTGTTTTAATTGATTCACAGACCTAGGGAGGCAGACAATTTGAGCCTTTATTTTTCCCCAGTGTTTTGGGTAAGTCAAAATAATGATGGGATTAGCCTATGATGAGTTTAGGAATTTAGGAAAAACAAAGCACAGGCCCAAACTTTGCAACCACGGTCTGTAATTCTGTTAAACCCTTTCACCTCTGTGCGCAAGCCAATTTAAATTGAAAAAGAACATCTGTGCTCAGTCATGCAGAGCGGCGGCTGATAATTGATGTGATGATAAACAAAACAAGAAAAATTGGTCTATCGGAACATGATAACGGATTTCTGGAAAGTAATAAAACTTTTATTTTGTTGGCAATTTTCTAAATGTGTACTTTTTTGAAACACCCTGTGTTATCACCCCTATACCTTTTAAGTCACTGACTATGCGCACCCTTAGCCTGCACCGTCGACACCGCACTTAGGCCTACCGGTGTTACGATCTCACCTGGGATGGAGGCTGTGCTTAGTTTTCAGACATGTGACAAGAAATCTCCGCCCATGGCTGGGACAGCCTTGGACTTTGGCCCTAAAAGAGCCGGGTTAATTTGGCCCCTCTCATATACAGCCCCCCCCCCCTAAAAAAGGCTGTACCCCGCTCGGTTTTTCGAAACTTGGCAGGCATGTACACACTCCTTATCACAACAAATGTGAAATCTTAAGTTCATGGCTAAAGACGTGCTAGCCCGCGTGCGTTGATTCCCACAGTATACAGTCAACTTCTCTGTATTCTATGTGACAGGACTGGAGATGACGGGAGAGCTTGGCCAGGGGTACATCGCAGTAAAAGCGGATGTGTTTTTTTTTTTTTCCCATTTCCTGTAGCCAACCTCATTACTGGTCTCCATTACAATCACACCACAGTTCTCACGAACGTCAGATGTGTCATCATTTGATGCAGTAGGCCTACTGCTGAAACTGGTGGACAGCTCAGCCATACAGTTCAAACTTCTCCGCTTACGTCGGATGGCGGGTCAGCTATCAAGAAATTATACCCGGAATTGATTTCATTACATTATTTAGGGTTGACAGGGGACAGGTATCTTCTGCTTCATACTGCGCAAACGTGTACCTTTGGAGGGTTCTAAATCTGGCTTGAAAGACATCCGCCAAACCAAATGTCATTTTAAACATAATTTTAAGCACCAGATAATGACTAAATGAAAGTTTTTACACTGGAAAAATGGGCTGCTTTAATCTGTAAAACTGGATTATGTGATCGAAATGTTCGAACTGCATCTCCCTATTCCACTGGCACATTCACTCTAACAGCAGTCTAAGATTTACGTTAGCCCATCACCAGCATGGTAGGGCTGGTAGGGTATCAGGACATCTCGTACCCGGAACAATTCGTACCTGGTAATAAAAAATGCAATTTGCTTCCAGATAATGACGTCAGCGATGGAAAGAAAAATGAGCCCTCTCACTTGCCTGAGGGTTTTACGTCATTCGTCTTCGACACCGTCCCTCATACAGAATTAAAACATCAATTTACAAGGAAAACATCCTCTTATTCTGAAGTGAGTGAACAATGAAGGTCAGCGTAAAAATCCGTGCTGCTTTCATCAACTGAAAGAATATCGAGTTTATTAATGAAAGAAAGGAGTGACATAATTAACCATGAAGCCTGTTGCTAAACTCCAAGATTGCAGCAGCCAAACGTTCTTAATATACACGTAAGTGCCTTTGAAAACGCCTTTAGGGTCCTGTATCACCCAATGCCCACGTGACCAACACTCCCCCAGATTCCCGAGAATAGTCGAACTATTCCGAACTGATCCTGTCCATATTGAGTTCCGTTTAACATCAACACTTTTGCTTTAATGCTCCTCAAAATTGTAAAAATTGTCACAGAGATTAAAATGAATAAAGTTATAGCCAAATGAGTAAAGGGAGAAGAAAAAGACCATTCGGAGGGTATCGGTAATATTCGGGCATTTCCGGCCGCGTCTGTACCAAGAATTTTGTGAACTGGCCGGGTTATTTTGGTCGGAGTACTCCCCAATTACGAAGCAGAACTTGGGTTGAGAAGATTGGAGCATGTTTTTGATAAATGGAAAGCATTGCTTTAATTGAACGTGTTTTAAAGCTAATGCCATTTGTTTTAATCGTATTTTAGAAATTAGGAATAAATTTTTCAAAAGCAGAAGGGAATTTTAAGGATCTAACACATTTTTTCCAGATTCGAATAAAGAGTGGATGAATTTTCACTTACGCAACGTATGTTCTAGATTCAAAGGAATTTTAAAAGCACGTAAATTTGTACAAGCCAAAATTTTTCAAGATTGGAACGATTTTTTCAAGTACAAACTTTTTTCACATTGAAAAAAAAATTGTACAGAATAGACTGAACATATTTTGAAAATGGGAACATTTTTTCAGCGTAAAGCAGCTATTCGGTGCACGTATTTTACAAAAACTCTCATGCCATCCTAAGTAAATAAACAAATAAAAAGTAACTTGTGAAAACTTCGTAAAACAATCATGGAAAAATATGCTTAACTTTTTCAAAAAATATACTTAAAGCATTATGAGGATTTCGCAGAATACCTTCTGAAAGATCGAATACCTTTTATACGCGGCTCTGGATGCGTTCTCCATTCGGATACTTTCTCGGATCAGATGATTTCTCAATTCAAAGGATTTCTTAATTTTTCGACATTTAATTCATAAGCTGTTTCGTTGTAAAAAAAAAAAGGTAACAAATTGTTCACATTGTGAAGTTTTTGTTCTATTTTTAAAGAATTTCAAACTTGAAAAAATAATTCAATCCTAGAGATTACGTTGTGTATATAAAAGTTCAATTGCTTTTTAAAAATTCAGTCGATTGGGAATCTGGAAAAAGAAGTGAGATCCTTAAGATTTTGTTCGGTTTTGAAAAATATATGTACTAAAATGATGACATTCGCTTAAAACACATTAAATTTAAAACTAAAATGCAACCCACTTAGGAATAAATTTCCAATTTTTTCACCCTTATTCTACTTTGTAGTGGATGGCTTACCCCGACCGGTATAATAAGGACAGTTCACAAAATTCTTGGTACAGACGAGGCCAGAAATGCCCGAATATTACCGATACCATCCAATTTTATTCTCCCTTTACTGATTTGGCTACTAATTTTATTCAGTTTCATCTTTGTAACAATTTGTACAATTTTGAGGAGAATTAAAGATAGAACTGTTTGAATTTAATAATTAAATTCAAACACTTTTTTGACTGTTTTTAACTGTTTGGATATACCCTGCATGGTTAAAAAAATGGAATAAAATAAAATAAAATAAAAATAAGTAATGTTACGCGCCCTTTCTTGATCTTAGCTTGAAATGGCTAACATGAAGCTGTTACCAAGTGCTTGAAATAGGTTGTTTCCGTAAGTCATGGATGCAGCTTGACGCCACTGACTAGTGGCTGAAGCCACTTCCTATAGGGTCTTGTGTGACTCTCAGCCGCAGCCAGTTCGATTAGGATACAACCATAATTTCCTATATACTCCTTGATGAGTGAGAGCTTATAACTTTGTATCTGCGTGTAGCATGGCTTTGCAAACATTGTCAACTAGAACTGGTGTGCACGTGCATGTCTGAGGGACCGGAAACCAGGTAAGAAAGCATCGGGTATTTACCAAGCCCCTCTGGTCAGAATCGACCAGATAAAGTTGCTTAACCTTAAGGAATGTACGCCAACTGTACTTCTTTCGAATCTGCCCTAGGTTTGTGATTGTTTCTCAAATGATCAAGCACGCAAACTGCACGGCTCTAGTTGGCACTGCGTTGGGGGTCTGGCTGTACAATGAATGTGAGGTACATATTTGTTTGGCCGAATTCAAACACTATAGGTTTAGACATTTGACTGAGCCATACTGTAATATTGGCAATGACATCAACTCCTGGCACCCCAACTCACCCGAAAGGATGAGTTACATTCTCCAAAGTTTCAAGGAGTATGCTGGTACTAGTCTGTTGCTTTTTGATTGGCTAGTGTTCACTTCTTTAAGACTCATTTCAGTCTCCAGCTTCCACAGATACAATCATTAACGCATGTGAATTCAGGTTTGACCTTTTGGCATCCTCCCGGACCATTGCTTATAAATTCCCTAAATGTAGCCAGATACCCATTCTACGTTCACACCGAGCAGGGGCGTAAATCCCGGAGAATGGGGGCGTATATGTCCCCTCCACTTTTTGACCAGGGCTGGGCGGGCTATTGAATCATTCCCCACTTTTTCGTGGTGAGAAAAATTAAAGCACATTGTAAAGAATAATTTTTCGGACTTCCCAACAACCAAAGCATAGTCAATAGCACTAAAAAAGAGAACATTTTAAAAAAAATAATAAATATGCCGTTCTTTTGAAAGCTTCTGTATAAATTTGTATCCTGAACATCATCCCTTCTATATGACAGTGTCATATGGTGTCAGTTCCAACCCCCCCTGTTTTTCAAACATCAATGGCCGCAATAAGCATAACGGTGCCAGCTTTTCTTCCCTACCACAATACTGAGTATACGTGCCGGTTCATGAGTGTGTAAAGGGCACCTGTGACTGTGTTTGAAGCACCTTTGCACAGTCTGATGATCCCCGTCACTGCAGAAATTCAACAGCTTGCGAATTACGACTTAACGCATGCAATCGTACTGGCATAAAAAGCCTATGCATTCTGTCATTGCTTTCACTTAGCCCTGAATGTTGCAGTACGTTAAACATTCATGTTTAGGTACACCTGTAGACACCATAGAGCCTGAAAGTAAAAGGTCACCCAGCAATCTTCTGGAACCCTCGCGCGGTCCACCTATGGAGCTGTCCTGTCGCGTTCGACAATTTTGGGGAGAATGATTTCTAACTGAAACCACTCTAGAAAACACTTATATTGGAATTTTCCGTTTGTCCTTGTCAAGTAATATTTTGAAAAAGTCACCTGGAGACGGGTAAAAAACGAATTTAACAACCTGTCAGTTCTGGTAATGTCATTTTAGGTCTCCTCGTTTATGAACGTTTGTTTCCATTCCCTGCGCTTACTTGAAAACGAGATTGTACAACGTTGCAAAAATTTATCTACCTGCAGGCAATGGGTTCTAGTCTACACTCAGTCGAGTTGACCTGGCGTACCGGTAGTTCTTGTCAGCAATCTTTCGTAAAATCAGATTTTTATGTGAGTTTATTTCCTTACAATTATCAAAATCCTCAAAATATTTTGCTCCATATTTGTTTTGGCTTTTCCCGAAGGACTGCCATACAGTTTAGTTCTGTAAATGTTCATTTGGGCACGATACGAGACTACCTAATTGCACCGTTCTTCGTGTATTTTAAATTTTTAATGGATAATTTTTCAGTTGGTATTCTTGCAAATATTTTATAAAAGATCTTTTTACATGCTGAGTTCTTAAGAAGTAAACTGGAAAAATAATTATTACAAATTCTAAAATTTTTGCACATTATTTTCTTATCCAAGGATCAAGAAGAGTGCCACTAGGGTTAACTTTTAGGCTGGGGGTGTGTTTCGAAATCCTGAAGGTAACTTCTTAACTTGTAGATTTACATTTGCTGTGGTTACTGTGTCTTTTTAAGAGATGGACCTGGACATAAGCCTGAAGATTATTGGCCTCAGTGGCCTCGTGCAGAACACCAACTTTGTAATTTTCGGGATGGGCTTAGCTCTAGCAGCCATCCAACTGACGTCCGTCGCCCTCACAGTTGACCAGTCCGTGGAGCATTATTGTAAGCCGGCACCCAACTTCGTAGCCAATGAAACAGCGCCTTTAATCATTAAAGACGGCCGCCTCGTACCCGATCGCTGTCAAATGTACGAAGTCCTGAATGGGACACTGACGGAGAACACAACGACTTGTCAACACGGATGGGAATACCCTGACTTCGAGAAATACGGAGAAACCAGCTTTGTGACTGACGTAGGTTTGGCAGTTACCAGTGTTCCGGTCGAAACCACTTTTAAGACCTTCACAGGACCACACAAGACCAGCAAAAGACCTCCAGCCTGAATTCAAGCCACAAGCTATTCAAATGAAATGCAACAAAAGCATTCCTTTGTCATTGTTCACACTGTCACTTGTGACTGGTCTTGTGTCTGACTTGCTCATGGTCTCGCCTACAACACTGGCAGTGACGCTGCATAAGTTATTTGAAAATAAAGCTTTGCATGTTTTGAAACTTTTGAAATCTCCTGTCGCCTGAACACGAGATTTGTTAACGGTCAGTCAAATATTGTTTGTTTGTTTGTTTGTTTGTTGGGGTGTTGGGTTGTTTGTTTGTTTGTTTGTTTGTTTGTTTGTTTGTTTGTTTGTTTGTTTGTTTGTTTTGCATGAATTGAAAAAAAATGTAACCGTGGGGTAAATGTTTTCAAGGTATAGATAATGATATTCAAAAAGGGCCTTCAAAGTCTGACTGATATGGGTTTTAGAGTCTTGATTTTAAGCCTTAAAGGGTCTTTTATCTATCTTCAGGTGAATCTTGTTTGCAGTCGTGGCTATCTGGCAGGCTTACTCATGTCCATACACTTCGCTGGCGTGCTGGTGGGTGGTCTCCTCACTGGCCAGGCTGGAGACACGTTCGGTCGCCGTCCAGTCAGCATGGCCACGCTGCTCTTGATCAGCGTGCTGGGCACAGCCGTCAGCTTCACGTGGAGTCTGGAGCTCATGATGGTCCTGAGGTTCCTCTTAGGGGTGGCAATACCGGTGAGAACACTCGCTTGTGCCTTGTGGTTGAATACATCTTCGGTTGGCTACGTAACCCGCGTAGCAGCCGCCAGCCAATTGCCCATCGTTGCAAAGTAATCTTGGGCATCTTTAGGACGTTGAACACCTAGTGTTAGTAGAAAGTTTTATTCTTCAATCCTTACTTCACTCTTAATATTTCTTGAAATAAACATTTTTAAATCAAATATTCTATTCACAGGGAAACACTCTGGTTGGCTATGTCCTCGTGGTTGAGATGTGCACGCCCAAGAAGCGTCTGCTTAATCACGTGCTTATTCAGCTTTTTTGGAGTTTAGGAGTAATGCTTGTCGCGCCGTTAGCCTACCTCATGCCCAACTGGCGTCGCTTCCAACTCGTCACGTCTCTAATGTGTCTGCCGGTCGTCTTAATCATGTGGTAATCAGGGGACTTCTGTGTTCAAAAACTCAGATTTTTCCAACATTTGACCAGTTAATCGCAAACCAATCTCCACGATGATTATTCAGCGTCTTGGTAGAAACAATATCAACCGTAGGTAGGCAAGCATTGGCCAAAGTGCAACTTTTTTGGTGAATAATTATAGTCACTTGTGTCCAAATGAGCCCGATGTGTCTTTTTTATTTCTACAGAATTCAAACGCAGAAACGAATTGAACGCTTGAAACTTGCACTTTATGGTCTATTTGTTCCCAAGCTTCTTTACATACGAGTCACTCCGATGGCTTGTTCAGAAAGGCCGGCCAGATAAGGCAGAGGCCATCCTACAAAGAATCGCAAAATCCAAGAACATCCAACACGATGGACCCTTCTTGGTGGACCGAGAGAACCAGGACACGCCTGCCGTCTGCACCATAAAGCTGTTGGCTAAATCGGAGCCAGAACGGGAGAAAGACCACGGAGACTGCTCAGGTTCCCCGGTACAGGGAAGACGAACGCATGACGAGGCCGTGGATGACGAACGGGAAGGTCACCGCATCCAACCTTTCAGCACGGGAGAAGACGAGATTGACCAGATCGCGAAGACTAGTGGGCCTGCCAACGTCAAAAAGTATACCATCCTAGATCTCTTCAAGACCAGGGTCCTCATCAAACACACGTCCATCATTTTTGTTTGCTGGTAAGCGCCATCCCCGACTGCCGGGTCCTTCAACGACTATTTCTTTTTTATGCTTCTATAGTGGGAAGAAATAACTTACCATTCCAAGTTGTGTTGGTGTTGTTTTTTAATGCTGTTATTTGAAAACTTATCCATCTCTCCGGTTTTATTTCTACCAACTAGTCAAGGCTCTTGACATTGTGAATTAAGATGGCTGAAGAGAGAAAAGGTCGGCATTATAAGCCTTTTGCGAGTTAAATGTGAATAAAATCTGTTCTTTAAATTCACATGAACATGGCAATTTGAATTCTCCATAGTAGAGACAGTGTTGCTATACCTCGTGATTTGGGACAAGCTTTTGCTTGGTTAGATAAGAGACGCCTTGCACCAATACAGTTTTCAATAGATAAGAAGGGCACAAATGAACCAGTCCATTCCACAGATGGTGGTCGCTATAAAAGCTTACCCCGAATCACGAGGTTTATATAGCAAAAGTGTAGAGTCCGTGGAATTCAAATTATGTTTATGTGCAATCAGATGACTCAGTGTACCACATGTCGTTCAAATGTAACTCGTAAAGGCTTTTTTGCATTGACGTTTGGTTTTAGTCCGTCTTAATCTTTCACGACCGATGTCCCTCCATGACCACCAGAATTTATTTATCGATCATATATCAGGTATGTTATGAATGCAACCTACTTCGGGTTCACCGTCTATTCGACCAGTCTGAGTGGTAATAGGTACCTCAACTTCTTCTTGTTGGCTCTCGTCGAGGCACCGGTCTATGGTATCGATTTCTTCATTGTCAGGAGGTACGGCAAACCTCTGCTGCACGAGAATCGAATTAAAGTAAAATATTCATAATTTCAAAAGGAGTGTGTTTTGTGTATTTATCGTGAAAACTCGATTCCATTTAGGACACAATTGACAGGCTTTCTAGAGGTTTTGGAATTTTTGTCATTGACTTTCAAAACCAATTGCAATCATCAATGTGTACCAATATTTTCTTTCTTTTTTGCTTCAGATTTGGCCGGAAAAGGCCAGTCATCGCCTTTTTCTTCTCTGGAGCAATGGCGTGTCTGCTGATTGCTTTCCTCCCTATGAAAACAGGTAGTATTGTGCGCACGTCTTTTTTTCCAGCAGCTTACGAATGGCAGTCTAATTTGTGAGTTTTTTGCGCTAACAAACTATACGCGACGGGGGATCATTTGTGCCCCTTTACCACAAAAATCATCAACTTCTTTGACTCTCTTTTGCAATATGCCTTGCTTATGTTATTCGAGGCAACTGAAAATGAGGCTGTAGGGGACTCGCTTGTCACTAAGGCAGTAAGCAAAAGGGATCTTTCCGTGGTTCCCGAGACAACCTTCGGGTTTGTGGAGGATTACATCAAAGCAGTTGAGAGCAACAGCAAAAAGTTTCAAGTATTTTTCAGCAACCTGCATTCATAATCTGAAGGGTAAGCGGTTTTTTGACGGGAGTATGGTGGGAAAATTTGTTTACGGTTAGTTTGAAGGCTGTTTGTCATTCAGCGGGTTACATTTAATAACTGGGCTATTTCCTTTTGAAGTTCAGAATTCTCTAGATGGTAATTCGAAAATTACAGACGTCATTTCATCATGTTGGGAGCGATTGATCATGGAGGAAGGAAAAGACTGGAGCAATTGAACTGCACCAAAATGCAATAACGTGTACGGTAATAAGTGCTCCAAGAAGTCGTTTCAAAGTCACAATTTACGTTGAAATGTGGCCCAGGCCCGTCACGTTTGATCTTAAGAATCTACTTTTCAAGTTCAGCAGAATCTTGTTCTTTGGAAATCGGTGGAAGCTAATGGTCTTTGTCCGTGATTGCCACAACACGGCTCTGAACAATGTTTGCCGTGTTTGCCGACAGCGCGGGGTCCCCCTACAGCCTCTTTTTCAGTTCCGGTGCATAAAATTTGCATATGAATTAAGAAGGGCCTATTTGGTAGTCAGCATACTTTGAATCTTCAAGTCCCTCGATCGTACAATAAGCAACACATGACAGGGCATTTGCAATTGCTCTCGCAATATGGTTCGCAGTGTATATTTTTACATTTATACTGTCTAATAGTTTTTATCCTTTTTGTCATCATTGCCTAATATTTTTATGTTAGTTTTATTTGTACAGCGCTATTGAATTACTTTAATAAAGCTGGAGCTCCAGAAAATAATTAAATGTTAAATTACCTTCAGCCAGTGGACTGGATTTATCAGCCCTTCTGGTTGCCATGGCGATGATAGGGAAATTCTACGCCAACGCTGCCTTTGAAGTCACACTGCTGATAAGTGCTGAGGTCTTCCCCACGGTGCTTCGGTAAGGACAGAGATCAGAGACAGTGCCTACCCAGGGGTGCAAATGAGGAAACAAGAAATATTTAAAAGCAGACAGGAAAACGCTGGGAAGTAATTCCGAAGTGGATGCAAACAAAACACTTAGTTTCACAAATGATTTATATCAATAAGAGCAACCCAGAAAGTCTTGATATTTCGATAGAGAAAATTGGCCCTATATGCCCCTCTTCACTGCAGTGGACCCTTCTCCCTCTCTCTTGATGGTGATTACAAGGTCATACCGTAAAGTGTTTAAATGCCCATCGTTCCTCTTTTGATAGGAACACTGCAACAGGTAGTTCATCCACTATCGGAAGGAGTAGCGCCATCATGGCACCGTTCATTGTGTATCTGGTAAGTGACAGCGGTATCACTTTGAATCATGCGATGACACAAGCCCATGCCGTTGGTTTTAAAATGTGCAGGCTGTTGTGGTCTTGAATATAGCTGGTGAATCCTCGGGCCGTCAAGAAATAACAGGGTGATGGTGAATAAATTCAGTATACTTTAAAACTATCGGGATTAAGTTTGTTTTGTTACCATTACAATAAATACATGTTTCTATATATTTATTTCATGTTGGCTTAAAAGAAATCACACTCTGTGGTTACATTAATGTTAAGTTTGATTGTACAAAGTCGAAATTATTATCAACATGTAGGGAAAAGAAACACTGTGCTTTTGGCTTTCTCTATTAAACAAAAAAGAATTCAGACTGGAAAGAAGTAGGAAAGAAAAAGGGTATTATACAAAGTTAAAACTATAGTTTTCAGTAGAAAAAAATCGATCTATTCAATAGCACCAACATTTTTGGAGATTTTATTACACAAGACGTCGATATGTTTAATCCAAGAAAGATTTTAACCAATGCAATTGTCCAGGAATTTAGTGCTTTTGACCTTGTTCAGAAAAGCCATCGACAATAAGCATGAGATCGTCTTTGCTATCACATTGACAATATGGGGTCTTTCACCATCTGTGTTACAAACCTTATTGATATATCGGTGTGGGAGGCCCTGGGCTTGGCACTTATACTGTATGGACGGCAAGACATTTAAATTGAAGGTCATGTACACTAAAAACAGAAGGGCGAATGAGCCTGTTTTATATTTCTAATTGGCAAGGTCATTCGAGAACAAAAACGCGCTTGGGTGTCGGTGTATGGCGACGTTGATAGGGCAGATCTCGTGAGCGCGTAGGCCTGTTGCTGTTCGCGAATGACCAGAAGACTTCATTTTGAGCATGCGCTGTTAGAACATTCACCGTTGGAACACAGAACTAGCTTTTGAAAAGCAAAATGAAACCACACAACAGCGTTTGTGTTCAAACAGGCTGTTTGGAATACTGTGCAATGAGAGGAGATAATGTACGAGATTGAATGAAATTTTGACCGAGCCATCCTCTTACCTCTCTGGTAACCGACCCCACTTTTTCTCTCACGACACAGACAGAAGTCCGGAGCTTCTTGCCCATGGTTATCTTTGGGTGCCTGTCGCTGGTAGCCTCCGGGCTTGTGATCCTGCTCCCCGAGACAAAGAACAAACCACTACCGGAGACATACGACGACGCCTTCAAGTTGCTCGAGAGCCGTGAAGAAGACACAAAGCTGTGATTACTCAAACAATGTTTGTTTTATTCAACTCGTTTCAGTATGAGTACTGAACTGCCACGTCTTTTAAACTATATGCCTCCATAGTATGGCACTTGCGTGTAGCAGGTTATTAAAATAATTTCATTCTGAGCATTGTATATTTATTCGAGCAGACAGTAAACTAATTTATTAAGTTTAAAACGAGAAAAGGTTTTTATATAACTAATTTGAGGATTTAAAATACCTGGGACCTCTGGATAAAGCATATAAAGGATCCAGGAAATGCCTTTTTCTTAGAATCACTTTTTTGTGTATCTCTGTACTCTTCTTCCATGTATGAAGGCTGTTTGACATCTTTTTTTAAGTTACGTGAATTGAAAGGTACACTTTTTTAAACATTTAAAATTGACCAAGCATTTCTCGACAAGTGACAAGTGACAAGCTATTGCTTCAATGTAAATCCAGGAAGACATGGTTTAAGTTGCATCTTTTTATGTTCAAATTGTGAAATCCAAATTTGTCATCTGGTAACATTTCTGTGAAAAGGATACTTGCTGGCTTCTTGCCATAAACGTAAAGCAATAAACTGCCAAAGAAAATGAAACATACCATAGCAGTGCTTCAAATATCTTAACATTTGCTTTGCAAAAATTGGTGCAACATTGAGATCCACTGCCTACGATGACATCATAGGTCTGCTCATGAATATACAAATGCACATTAGCATAAAACAAATATAGCTCCAAAATATGGGTTAAAATTGCAAAACAGAATTTTAAAATGAGGTTTATTAAAACCCAATGGTCCAATTTAAAGGGTTTTTAGTAAAAGTTATAAAAATATATCTATTTCATGATTCCTTTTAAGCAAATATTTTCTCCGTATTTTTCAGTGTCAATACTGCTCTACTGCGTTGTTGAATTTTACGACTAGGTTACAAGTCAAATTTTAAATGAACGAATGTAATGGTAACCACGCTCTTCAAAACCAGTTAGATTTCGTCCAGCGTGTCGAAGGCAAATGCATGTAGTATTCCAGTCATTTATTCACTGTTTTTCCAGGGATACAATGACAGAGAGGTCCCCAACCATTACTAACAACATCCAAGCTTTATTATGCATGTTGTGTTGCATGTCGTATTGCATGTCGTGTTGCATGTCGTGTTATATGTCATACTGCTCCTGTGTACACGAAGATTGTAAAAATTATGCCACATCGCCCACCTTCGTCCAAATACTGTTATTATCATTCATCGTTGGTGTATATGGAAGTAAGCGACTGTGCCAGTTTTGACGTATACTTGGATTTCATCGCTCAGAAATGCATGGGCAGGGAGTGACTGAAAGTCAAGTTACTTGCAAGCGTCTATTTTTTCACTTTGTCTTTATGTATTATGCTGCAAGCGGGGAAGAGCAAACACGCAGAGCAGGTAAATTGTTTGCAGGAGAAGAGTTCGCACCTTGGATTTATTGTATGTTCCTTTGGAGAAAACATTCGAGCTTGAGGTTCACGGTTCCTTACAAAACATGTGGCAGGACACAACCTCGTGTCGGACATAATGGCTTAATTGCACTAAAAGGTACAATTATTGGGAACACAGGCACAAAAGATAAAACTCCGATCTCGATAACAGCCGACTTCATTACACGTACGCATTATTTGGCCTGGGCTTGTGTATTTGAAGACATACAAGCAAATTGCATCATGCCAACCCAATCGTAGTTGCACCGTACTTCATGAAATTCGATATGAGTTAATCCATAATTTACCATCGTTATTTTCATGATTGTACCATTGAAAGTTTAAGTGTTAAGAATTTACCAAGTTAGTTACGAATGGACATTTAAAACTTTACTGTACAGTCTTGGAGTCTTCTTCTATAATCATTATGTAACCTTTTATTTAGTGCAGACTGCCCGAGTGGCAATCCAGGAATATTTTCCTCATTGTTAGTTAATCTACATTAGGGGTTTCATTTAAGGAAAGCAGCAGCATTGTACTTTGAAAGTACGGTGGAAATCGCGTTAATTCTGGCTGACTGTTTCTTTGTCAAGATGGGAACCATGCAGTTTTCTACCTTGGAACTGGTGTTCCGTGCAGACAGTGGCTGTATCCACCAGCGGCCTGTGTCTTCCACGTCGTCGTTCTGATGACTCCACGGGCCTTATTTTGTGTAGCAGATAGTTTATTCAACTGGCTGCCATTTTCATGACCGGTGACGGATACCGGCTGTGGTACTGGTGTCACCGCCTTCCTGGTTGTGGGGCTGGTTCCATCTTTCCGAATTTTCAGCGGGTCCGATGCTCGTCTCGCGTAATGAGACTTTTTTATAAATTGAACTTTCGTTTCGTGTGTCCAGGCAGACTTCCTACATTCCCGTTTAAATCCACTGTGTGGCCAACTTCCTGCATTCCCGTTTGGATCCACTGTGTTGCCGACTTCCTGCATTCCCGTTTGGATCCACTGTGTTACCGCGTACCGAAGCTGCTGGTCAGGCAAGTTCTTGGAATTAATGTTAAATGTATAAGTTTGATTTAATGTGAAGATGTAAATGTAAATTGATCTGTCTATAACATGATTCTATTGAATTCGATTGCTTTGACATTTTGATTGCCTGTGATATTGAATAGTCGGAACTTCTAGATTTATAAATTTGAGAATCGTGTTTTGAGCCCGATTTATTTTGTAATAAATGTCACCGCTTTCTTTGCTAATACACACGCCTCGCCTTTATTGTGTAGACTTCACTAGAGACGTAACAGAGGATGTACAGATGATATCATAAGCCCTAAGCTATAGAGTCTGAAAGTAAACGGTCACACAGCGAGCTTCCGGAGCCCTGGCAAGGTCAACCTATGGGGGTTTTACACAAGGCCGTCCAATAACGTTAATATAATATTTTGAAGAATGATTCCAAACTGAAAACATCCGATTAAATACTCAGTTTGGAATGTTACTTTTATCTTCCTTTAGTAACATTTTGGACAGTTATCTAGAAAGGGGTGTAATGTAAGCCTTGTGGCAAATACTGCATGGGTGATTTTGAAGAATGGTAGAAAAGTATCGTGGGAAGGAAAAAGGGGGCAATGTTTGCTCCTTTTTCCTTCCCACAATGCCTTTCTACCATTCTGCAAAATCACCCATGCTGTATTTGCGATAAGGCTTATCGTTCCAATAGGTCTCCTTGTTCATGCACGTTTTTTTCACTCCCCGCGCTCACGTGAAAATGAGATTGTACAAGTTGCAGAGATTTATCTACCTGCAGTCGATGGGTTCTAGATTCAGTCGAGTCACTTATCGCAATTTTTGTGAGCAAAATTAAACATTAGAATATTTCTTAAAAGCAGATAATTGCTTATAAATAAAAAAAACGATCTTTAAAATATTTTGACTTTTTTTAATTTTAGCTTTTACTGATAGATTACCTTAAAATCTGCGTACGAGACCACTGCAATGCACTGCTGTTCACATATAATTTTTAGATTTTCGGAAATGATACGGCCATTTTGGGAAGGATATTATTCTGTTAGGTCAGGTAATTTCAGTTTCTATGAAATAATATGCTAGCAAATATTTTACAAACGCCTTTTTCCGAGGCAGTTTTTAGAAGTAAATGAACGAAGAAACAACAAATATTCTGAAATTTTTGCGCCAAGGGCGCCAACAGGGGTCGACTTTCAGGATGTGTTCGCGCGGTTACTCCTGTTAGCACAGGTTTCTGGTGTACTATTTCCCACGTACATTTCTGTCTCTCTCTTTAGCCTCCCTCCAGGCGACACGACTCGACGGCGCGACGGCTCCCTTGCGTCGTGCCGTCGGGTCGCAACTTCGCCTTCTTGCCTTTACGTTTGCACACACGACGCGTCGCGTCGTGCGTTGCGTCTTGCCGTCGCCCGTCGTGTCGTCCTGGCTTACGTCCTTTCCTTGTTATGGTGTTCTATTCCCGCCATTTTGGCGTCGCGTCGTACCGTTGCTCCGACGCCACGACGCAACGGCACGACGTCGTGCCGTCGCGTCGTGCCGTCGCCTCCTTTCTTATTGAGTTCATGCTAAGCTAATTTCGTCGCGTCGTGCCGTCCCGTCGTGCTATTTCTTGTTAATGTCGCATCGTGCCGGCGCGTCGTGCCGTCGTATCGTGCCCTCGTGGCGTCGCGTCTTGCCGTCGTGGCGTCGTGTTGTGCCGTCGTGGCGTCGCGTCGCCCGCCATTGCACGTTTTTATACATTGTGGATTAGGCCGTCGCGTCGTGCCGTCGCGTCGTGCTGTCGTGCCGTTGCGTCGTGCTGTCGTACCGTCGTGTCGTACCGTCGCGTCTTGCCGTCGTGCCATCGCGTCGTGCCGTCTCGTTTGTGCTGCTAGCAGCTTTGCATTCTGGGATTGTCAATAAAGGGCGGATGGTGATAGTGAGCTTGTTAATTGAACGATGCAAGATGTCGGGGATTTACACATTGCTCGATTCTCAATTGCCTCTTCTCGTCAATAATATCCTTTTCACAATGTTTAGCTTTTTAAATGCATGTTTATAAAATAATTACCGCAATGAGACAACTAGCTTCCATTATGTTTATCCGGGGCTTTTCATGGGCATTAGGATTAACATTACTAGGCTTGGCCTCTACTGTAGCGAAGATCACATAATGCAAAGCTAAACGCTAAAGCCCGACATTAGTGAATTAGGCCTATTTTACTTACCTGCGTGATCCTTGCACCTGGCACGTGTTGAAATCCTTGATATTAAAATTCTAATATTATTTATTTATCTTACACAAATAAGAAAAAACACACACAAACAAATGATTTTTAAAAGTTGTCAATGGTGGTTAACTCTTCAATTAAAACACCTTGTAATGTTATTCCAATAGCCCAAGTAATTTCCCATGGCAGTAATGTTATAAGCACAGTGGAGACGAAGCCTATTCAGAACGGCATGCATACACATACTTGATTCTGCTCGAACCCAATAATGTGTTCATCTAGTCCCAGGGATCGTAGTATTTCGTCCATTGTTGATCTAGGCCGGCCTACTCGCCCGAACTTTGTCTTGCCTTGAGAGGTACAATAAATTAGGTGGATTCGGCAGCTAGCTGAGAGAGGGCGCCACAACTCTATTACGTCATCAGTATGGCGGCGAGGGCACGACGCGACGGTGAAAAAGACACGACGCGACGGTGAAAAGACGCGACGCGACGGACCGACGGCACGATGCGACAGATCGACGGCACGACGCGACGGCAAGACGCGACAGCACGACGCAACGGTACGATGCGACGCCACGACGCGACGGCACGACGCAACGGCACGACGCCACGACGCGACGGTAACATACAAAAAGGGAAATGCATTAG